CTTGTTTAAACTTTCTTTTTTTTTGTTATGACAAACAACCGTTAGTTGCAAAATTTTGAAGAGGGAGAAATAATAAAGTTATCCACTGTATGCATAGACATGTGCATGAAGGCTAAATGAAAAAGAAGAAGAAATAGTAGAAAAATTGAAAAAAAAAAAATCAAAATGGGCGCGTAAATGAACGAGCGAGAAAAAGGGAGCAGTTGAGCCATAAATGTACGAAAATATACTAAGCTAGTAAAAGAAATAAACTTACATACGAGTCCATATATACAATATTTACGGCACTAGTTTAGTACATCTATGTATACATAGACACGTACAATGTGGTATTTGTTGTTGGATCGCTTCGACTTGGGTATTATCTAAATCTAATACTTATAGGCTTAAACGAATTTTAATATAAAAAAATATACCGTAAACTGCTATTTAATTTATACACCCCTTTTTCATCTCAATCACAAGGAAATTAAAAAAGAAATTTTCAAAAATGTAAAATGAACTAAATTAAATTTAAATTAAGATGCCATAAAAAAACAATTAAAAAAAATAAAAAAATAAATTAAATTAAATAAAAGAACAAATAAATTGAAAAAGAATAATCTAAATAAAAAAAAATGAAATAAATTAAAATAAAAAAAAATTAGTGACATTAAAAAACTTAAATTAAACCCAATTGAATTTAATAAAATTAAAGTAAGTTAATGAAAAACGAAAAAAATTAGAGGTAGATTTAACTAAATAAATTATAAGAGGTTATAATAATCAAAATAACGAAAATTCATATGTGCATACCTACATATGTTAGTCTAGTAAAAAGTAATTTATTAATTTTGCAATAGATCTGTATAACGTGTTCTATAAGTGCACCGTTTTGATTGTCTAGGACCTAAACAATCCATAAAAAAAGTGTGGAACACCTTGAAAAAGACTAGATACACAAAAATGATCGAACATAAATAAAACCGAAAAATGATAAAGGATAAAAAAGTTTAATGCAAAAAATTACCAAAAACATATTCTTGCTTCTTCTTTATTAAAAAAAATATTCCCCATGAAATCCTATTTCTTTACTTTGGAGAGAACAAAATTTATTATAAATAAAAAAAGCACCTACATACATATAGTATAAAAATCGTGGTTTCATATTTGGGGGCAGGTATATAACATACGTGTATGTATGTGCAAATATATGTCTCTACGCATAGATAAAGTCCTGATTTAGACGATACCCAATGCGTTAGATAACAAATTTGCATACATTTGAATTTTAGAAAAAAATTATAACAAAAAAATTGCATTTTTAAAATAATACGAAAAAATACAAAGTTTGGCGTCTTTCATGAAATCAACTAACAGTACAAGAGCAAAAGCAGAATTCAGTCTACTAAGGGAAAATGGAAAATATAAAATTCTGAAAAATACTGCATTACTCTGCGAAAAACCTTACGCACATTCATAGTTACACATATATGTAAGTTTTCATAAATACCAGTGTATTCATTTATGCGTACATTTTTTACACACTCCTCCTTTTGAAAATATAATTTCTAAATATTTTTTTTTTTTAATTTTTAGATTTTTAATTTTCTATTTGCTTTTCCATTTCGAAAAATAAATAAGCGGCACGTGCAATTGACCCACTTTCCCTGCTAACCGTTAGTATTTGGTGATATGAATATGCGCATACACAAGCGAACAAATATTACATACTTACATTTCTACATAGAAATTTATATAGCCAACACGCAGTCAGATTGTGGACAGACTCATGGCGACTACAATTTTATCTAAATGTGGAAGAGTAAATTTATTTCCATGTATTTGAAGCTATCAGATATATACATACATATATACATATATATTTAGGTATGTATATATGTATATAAGTTTAGATCATATAAAATAACATGTGTGTACGCATATAATATTTACACTCACATAAATACATAGAGAATTTCTTTCTCTATATAAAATTAAGCTACTTTAGACGATAACTTAACTGGTATGTCTACACATGTTTACTTATACATAAATGTATGTACATACATATATGCATATACATTTTTAGTACATAGAATATGTGCTTTCAGTGAGCTTTCACGAAAGCGACCACGCATGTAACATACATTATAAATGCTTAGTATATACATACATACATACGTATGCTGACAGTTATTTTTGTAGAATATGGCATTTTAATATACCGCCAACATTGGAATAAAATAATTATTTCCATCAAGCATAATCCCGAAGTGCGAGAAGAACTTTGAAACACATGTACATAAAAATATTTGAAAGCACCGAGAGAGTAAATAAAATATGGAAGAGACAAACAGTGATGGAACTTTTATGAGTTAGAAAATTTGTTGTCAAACTGAAGCTTTAAGTGAAACTGCAACACACCAACCGGCCTATACTCACTGTTACCGGTAAAGTAAATTTTGTTATTTTTCTTTAACACCCGAAATTGAATTTGGTATTCTAGCGAACCGGTTACAATGTTTGAAAAAATTTGGCAGCACTGCTTTTTTCGTCCGTTTCAAACTTCATTTGCCAGTTGATAAAGTAAAAACAAAAATATTCTCATCGAAAGGGAAGACTGTGCGCAAAAAAATTAAAAAGTTTTATTAATTTGTTTATTAAATCATAAATATTTGAACCTATTGATGGAAAATATGCCTGGACAACAAAAAAAGCTGAATGAAAACATTAGCTTACAAATTAAAGGGCTATTCTTTAATCTCGAAAACTTCTTAAAATACTGCTTTTTGAACTTTTTTGTTCATCTTCAATGAATTCCAGACCGAAAATATCCCTAGCCATTTTGGTTTCTAATTTTTTCTCAGATTTACAACACAATATCAAACAGCAGATATTTTTGTTACCTCCTACCGCTGGTAACAAAATTTACAGGGTAACAGTGAGCTCAGAATACGAAATGGTAACAAAATTTACTGAATTGTTAAATTTTAAAACCTAGGTAAATTTTGTTACCACTACAGAATGCAGGCCTTTTCTTGTATTTGGAATGATGGTTTATGTTTAATGAGGTAAAAAAAAAAATTTTAATATATGATTACCCGCTGGCGGGAGCAAAGTAAAAGGAAGATCTCCACTCAGTTGGAAACTTAATCAGTAAGAAGAAAAAACTAAGATGCTCTTGTTGACCCGGCTATAATCCGTAATCGGTGCCCGAACCAATTAAAAAGTAGAAGAAGGATTTACTTTAATTGTTTTACATGTTTTATTATTCTTCAGGAGCCTTTAAGGCGACCTTAAAGCTAAATCTAAGCTGAAAAAATCAACCGCAGCTGTTTGACAAGCTCACTCTATTCAAAATTATAATTGTACATACATTTATTTTATTTTATCCGTCCATTTCATAGTATTCAAGGGTGGGGTATGATCTGTCTCACTATTATTAAGAAAATACAGAGGTTCTTAATTTATTCGGGTAATAACGTTTGCACCGAGGTGTCTTATTTTTTTCTGACTATCATATACATAAATCCTTTCGTTGTTTCTCATACAAAATTGAAATACGACGAATACAACATAGCGAGGTACATTTTTTCAGCGTACTAATCTATAAACTGTTTCTGTTTCTTTTTTTATTGTTGCTGTTTAGGTGTCTAAAATAAATAAATAAAATAAATTTCTCTAAATTTCATAAATTTCTATAATAATATGAAAAGAAACCAAAATTTTCTGGCAAATTAAGTTGAATAAAAAGAAGATATAAAAATATTTGGTTGCTTATGTGATTGCAAATGACTTTACTGCAGTGTAAACCAAAATGCCGCTTTTTAACTCGGCGCATAAGTGGAGTGTGGCAGAAGAAATATTATATTACACAATACTACATACAACAATTAAGGGGCGATCACAAGTGTCATAATTTTTAAGACAATTGAAATACGACGAAAGACAAAGCTTGTGAATTGGTTAATAGTGTATTTCGCTTTACAAATTCGAATATACTTTCGAAAATATTTTGTGGTTAAAAATTTTCAAAGAATATAATTAACTGAATCCTTTGACTTAAAGCAAAAATAATACGTACATTTTAATATGAAATTTTTTTTTAATTTTTTTCAAACTATAAGTGTGCATAACTCCTTAACCAAAAATAAGCATGAAATTATGTCAGTAAGTACCAACACTGTCAGCTATCGAAAGCCACCACAGTATAGCATACGGAAGAAATATACATAATACATATGTATAAGTATGCACAAACCTAAAGTTTAGAGACCCTGAAGGAGTATTAAGAGGTTGAAAACAAGAGATTCTTACAGCATACACAAACACATACATATAGTATATATATATAAGTTTTATATATATGTATATATATTAATATAATTGGCGCTTTATAACCGATGAAGCGATTTTCAGCAGAGGTCTACCTTCAATTTGTGGTATGAATCTCGATGTTTTTCCAACAAACGGAGACACCAACGCAGGTCGATTTATATGAATTTCCAAAATGTATAAAACAATTACTTTTTTTTCGTTTTACTGTACATATGTGCATAAGAATGTATTTCGTAAAACATCTCTCAATTAATTCAATCTATTTCCCCTGAAAGCTCTTTTGAAAATTATTGATTTTTATGTCGCTGTCAAATGTTTTGAACGCGCTGCCACTTTGTAGAAACACGAAAGCACGTCTGCTAAAGTCCATTTCTTAATAAACAGACATATGTATATATGTATATAGAATATTTGTATGTAAGTACATAGATATATACATATGAATGTATATATGTATATATTTAAAAGCTATGTGTATATACAATTTTGCAGCAGAACAAAATATACTCCCAGCTATGTGGCAGCGAACGAGCTTAGAGAAAAGCTTATAAAGCAGCCAGAAAACTTTGCTTTGAGATACTTTTATAGCAATCAAGCACGCAAACGTACATATATATGTGTTTGTACGAATGTATATAATGTAGGTACCTCTATCTGCTCGTATCTGCATTCCATTAGTTCAGAGAGTACAGAGAGTGTCGAACGACACGCGCGCTTTTTGGGCGCACCTCATTTTTGTAGCGTTAGAAACACGCTGGCAGGTAAATGTGGACAAGAAATAGTTTGCAGACGCGTTATTTGTTGTCTTCACTATATTCTTTCATTGTACTTATGTGTTTTCAGTTAGTCGCCGCTGCTGCCGACCTATTTAATACACTCACAGCCGCAGACGGAGAATATATGCCCAAAGCGAGCTTTTAGCAGCTACATTTGAACACTGAACCCATAACTATGCGTACATACATACGTTTAAATGTAAATTTGTTGTTACATGCTTGTGCTTTTACTTAGCGCGTTAGCAACACGCTCTTTAGTTGCTATGACTTTTTCTGTATTTATTACAACAATCTCACGCCTAACGAAAAAAGGGGAAAGAGCTTACGCCGCTGTTGACGCTGACGCAATACCATTAGATATAGATATGTACAAACATACATACATTCATATACATATACAACAAATTGCGCTCTTTAACTTTGAATTCCTACACAACCCACCACCACTACCCACCGCCGACCGATTGACCAACCAAAAAGTTGCTGCTCAGCTACACGAGCATGCCCACACTCATACACACACTCTAACTCTGCGCTGAAAGCATACACAAGCGTGCGCACATACACCACCTTTTCAGTGCATAGATACAAAAATGTATCTGTGCGCGCGCCTAAATTGATTGCGTAGTGGCGCTGCAAAGCTACAAAAATCTAACGAAACGAAACGAAACGAGCATCTGTTTGAGTGGCAGCAGAATAAATTAGAAAAAAAGTAAAATAAATTGAAAAAGCACACATACATATGTATGTATGTATCTACATAGTACATACATATGTATGTGCATATGTACACTTTAAGTGTAGTTGAAACGTTGCTTTGCATGGCCTACATAAGAAATTGTTTCAATATCGCTCTGCTGTATTCTAATAATCCGTTCGGCTTATCACAATATTAATAATTCATATAAAGAATTATAAAAAAATTAATACAATTATTAATACAGCAATATTTTTTTTTTCGCACCATATTTTCAATTTAAAAATGTTTGGCAGAGTTCAACGGTAATCTGTGCGTTCAAATATTTCAGGTCTTTTCTTGTGTTTAAAAAACACATTTAATCTATAAATAATTATAAATATAGTAATTTCACAATGAAATACACAGACTAACACAACAAAAAAAATATAACAGCAAATCGAAAATGGAGCAAAGAAAATTTAGTATAATATGTGGTATACGGAATTTCGGCATATAAATTAAATAGAAATACATATGTATATTGTACAGCTAATATTGTAGTAATTGTAATTAATGTAATTTAAGCTAAATTAAAAAATTAAAAATAATAAATTAATTTGCATTTCCCAAAATTAAATGAAATTAAAAAAAAAATGAATTATATTTAAATAATAAAAGATATAAATAAATCAAGACAAATCAAATCAAATAAGTAAAAAAATATTAAAAATTAAATAAAAATAAACAAAAAGGAAATACAAATATAAAATAGAATAAACTAAAGTGAACTAAAAATACCAAAATAATTAAATGGAATGAAAAGGAATTGAAAGCATTTAAATTAAATAATGTAAAATATGAAAATATATAAAAATTAAATGAAGGGAAGGGAAGCTAAAATTAAAGAAAACAAAGCAAAATAAAATAATAAAAATAAAAAACTAATATTAAATTAAACTAAACTATGATATTTCGAGCAAGAATCTGTCAAACTGTATGTCTGTATGTATATATTGCTTATTTCAATAGACTATGAGTATTATACAACAGTGGTCATTTTGTTGAGGAGGAATGTTGGAAATCAACACAATAGGCTTTGTATTTTGTGTATTCATGAAATAGTTCACATTAAAATAAATCGTCATTCGCTCGAGAACATTCAATCGAATCGTTTCATTATTTCCAATAAAATAAATCAATATTACATACACTAAAATTATATCAATTTAAATTAAAAACTTAATGTCATAAAATAAAATAGAATATAATAATAGAATAAAATAATATAAAGTAAAATAAAAAAAATTAAAATAAGATATTTAATATAAGTTAAAATAAAATAAAAAGCAATAAAATAAAATAAAATAAAATTCAAAAGAAAAAAATAAAATAAAACAAAATAAAATAAAACAATATTGCATTAAATAAAATTAAATGAGATAGCATAGAATACAATAATTTCGAATAAAATTTAAGTAAATAAAACAAAATAAAATAAATCAAATTTATTTAAATAAAATACAAAAAAATTATGGAATAAAATATAATCAAGTAAAATGAAATAAAATAATAGAATAATGTAAAAAAATGAAATAAAATCAAGTAAATTAAATATAAAATAAAATAAAAAAATAAAATAAATTAAAATAAAATAAAACAAATTAATTTAAATAAAATAAAATATGTTGTAAGAAACAGAATGAAATGAAATCAAATAAAGTAAAATTAAATAATATAAAATAAAGAAAAATTAAATTCTAAATAAATAAAATAAAATAAAATAAAACAAATGAAGTAAAATAAAATGAAAAAAAAAAAATAAAATGAAAAGAGTAAAATAAGGAAAATAAAATAAATTGAATTAAGGTATATTAAATAAAAAAATGAAATCCAATTATATTAAATAGAATAGAATAAACTTTAATAAAAAATAAAAAAAATAAAATGCTATAAAATACAAGCAAATTTAATAAAATAATTATATTAAAATAAAGCTAATAAAATTTAAATATGTAAAAAAATAATATTATGGTAAATTAAATAAAATAAAATGAAATAAAATAAAATTATGAACATAAACAAAAAATAAATAAAGTTGAATTAAACAAAATAAATTAAAATTAATAATTGACGCTTTGTAACCGCTGAAGTTATTTTTCGGCCGAGCTCCTCCTTCAATTTGTGGTTTTGCGTCTTGATATAATTCCAATAAATGGAGGGACCTCCGAACGGCTGATGGTTTTTTTCGAGGAGCCTTATTTCATATTCGAAATACAATCAATGGACAATCCCTGTCGAGGGACGACCCCAATTAGAATATTTAACTTAGTTTTTTATTTAAATTAATTTTCCATAGTGAAATAAAGTAATATTAAATTATATGAAATAAATTGACAGCACATAAAATAAAATCAGAATTTAGATACAATTAACAAATAAATAAAATATAACAAATTTAACTATAACAAATTAAAACAAATACGATTTAAAACAAAAGAATTAAATAAAACAAAAATGAAAAGGTTCGGCTTGTTCGAATACTATACCTTTCTTGATTATATCAAAGTTTTAGTATTACATTTTAAATAAATAATAATTTTCAAAATTGGTTGGAAGCGGCTATAAGGTAAACTTTTCGAAATTCTTTAATTTTTCGCTAATTTTTATTTAAATATGCATGAGTAGAATACAAAATTGGTTTTTGATCCAAAAAAAATTTCAGCATTATTTGTTTGTATATACTCACGTGTGTAGAAAACTGGAGTAACTTACATGCTTTTTTGACAAAATTTTAACGAAAATTTTCATGTCTGAACATACTTCAGTATATCATACATACTTCAGTATATCAACATTGGTCTCTACCATTACCTGAATATTTAGATAAATTGGATTAATGGACTTTTAATCTTTCAGCTGGAAATATATTATCCTACTTCCAAATTCTTTAAAAAAAAACTTCACTGTTTCGACGAAATGTATGCCCAATCAACTCGGAATTAAAAAAAAAAACATCCAATAAAAAAAGTCCACTAAAATGGACGTGAAATACATTTACTTGTTCATATACATATACATAAGTACAATTAATTAAATCCAATCTCCCTTACGCTACGGTCTATTTTTAATATAAAATATCATTTCAACAGTATCTTTATGGGGTATCTACACTTTAAAACACGCTAAAATTATAAATTCATAATATATACATTCATCTACACACATACATATAGCATCAGAATAGATGAATGTATGAAAAGATCAAATCATATTTGATTAATTATTTTCTTTTTTATAAACTTCAAGGTTTTTGCAATTAAAAGATATGCTCAGTCAAGCTGCAAGTCAATAAAATCGTTTGGCGGCGACGCATCAATTGAAAAGAATGTCAATGATATTATCAATATTTTCATGAAATTTTCATTGCATCGTGCGGAGGCTTACTAGTCAAAGCCAGCGCATACAAGGCATTCACGTGACTACATATTTATTTTCAGCATATATGTAATTTTTATTAAAAATTCATTCTGGGTAATTCATCTTCATCTGACGACCTTCTTCTTCCAGGTCCTTCATTAACTTGCCTTTCCAATTGAGTAAAGGCATATCTCTTCTTCTGCTTCCACAATGTGTACTACGTCGAACACTTTCATTGTTGAGACGACATGACCTAGCCAGTATAGACGCTGTATCTTTATTCGGTGAAAAATGTCAAAATCGCCGCGAAGATTCATACAGCGTTCCTAAAACCTATCTCTCGATAACAACTAGCACTCTCTAATCTGAAGCCATTATCCACGCTGCATTACTTAATTTGCTCATTCCCTTCACAGTTATAATTAGTTCATTTATTTAATAATAATAATATTAAACCTAACAAATACCCTTTACCCGCCCAGCCGACACGAGAGAATTATTCGCATGGCGTACGGAACAAGCCGAGTCATGATTGGGAAGCTACAAAAAAAAAATAGTTATTCAGCAACTGAAATTTAGTAATTATTGTATTTTAAAATTGTTGAGAGAAGTAAGAATCGTTTTCTTTTGATGCTATGAAATGAGTCTGGAGGATCGAAGGCGCTGGAATGAAATTTAAATTTGTGACACAATCGGCCAAAAGGTTCATTCAATTCATAATTTCTATTACACGACTTTGATAGTAACGGTATGAAGTGCTTAGATATACGAGTTGATACATTAAAGTTTACCTCCGAGAAAAACCATGAACTACAAAGTGAACCGTTAAGAGGTTTCACCACGAACAACGCGCCAAACATTTTTCTACGACGTGCGAGAGTCGGTAGATTTAGAAGCTTTAAACGGTGGTATCGGGAGGGTGATTTATCGTTGCGTGTGCGTTTACAATAAAAAAGCTGAAAAACAAGTTTTGGGATTTTTATTTAATAATTCAATGCACGAATTAAAGGATTTGCGAAATCAGCTAGGCAATTCGCAATTTTCCACCGAGATCTTGTGATTTGTCACCTTGCAACGTCTTTCTTTAGGGTCACGTGAAAGTTAAGGTCTGTGCCAACAGGCTAACATCGATTCTATACCTCAAAGCTGAAATTTGTGAAACTATTGAGCGCATACTGCAGCCATTTTGAGTTTTGGTGATGAAAAATTTTATGAAAAGGATACGATTCTGTAAGCGCAGCAGCCCATTTGGCTGATATGATTTTCCATTATTAACGGCATATCTTTCGCTTTACAATGACATAGACATCCCATCATCTATCTCAAAAAGTGCCATTTTTCTTTGAATATCAAAATAGCACCTCTTAATGGATCATATTTTCTTCCCAGTTCAGAGCTAGGCCGGCTTAAATCTCGGTATACAAGAGCACGGTTGTGATCGAACTTTGATCCTCCGTACTTGGTTTAAATATTTTGTACTCATCATTTGCGTCTCGATATAAAAATCGCACATTTTATAGAATTTACTAACGTAAAATTCGTGTTTTTGTTATTCTTCCTTTTCGTCGGATTTCTACATACTCTGCTGATATGCAATCTATACCAAGATATACGAATGTGTGCATACATATATACACATCTAAAATGTTTGCATATTTTTGGCTATGATGTAATATTAACGTCAACATTAAAATCCAGCAACAACATATAATTTGCTAAAAAGAATCAACGACAGATTGGAAATAAAAAAAGTTATAAAAACAAAAAACAAAAATCAAAATAGAATAAGAATTAAAAAATTTAAGAGAAGCAACTTTCTGCATTTCCTGAAATGTGTGTGGTTTCTAAAACCGCGGCATTGACCGAAAATCTAAATTCGAAACCACAAAAAAGAGTCTCAAGCGTTACTTCATTTCGTTATTTATTTCCTTTTGGAAAAAAAGCAAACAAAAATACATACATACAAAAGCTTATAACCGTTACGGAAATTTATATTCCTAGAGCATCAGCGTATGTATGTATTGTACAATAAATGCATACGTATGTATATAAAACATCTCTAAAATCCCCATCCGTTATTAAGCATATACATACTTAAGTATGTAAGTATGGTAAATATCGTACATATGTATGTGTTATTATTTTTTGTATATATATAAAGTAGCAAAATCATCATTTACGGCTTATACGAGTGAGTATCTCATAACATTCCATTAACGTCTTTTCCCACAACGCCCAGTGAGACAGCAAATAACAAACAAGCATAGAAAAGAATCACAACAAAAAAGAACCGAAAAAAATATCAGTTGAATTTCTAAATAAATTCCATTTGTGTCGGCGACTGCAAAAATCACCATATCCGCCGAATTGTCGGTTATTTCTCTCGGCGCTCGACGTAGCTATTTTTGGTCTCGGCTGTTACTTCATCTTCCTGTTGAGTCTTTTTATTTTTATTTACTTCAACCACACACTTTTATATCGTCTTTTTATACACACGACTAATTGTTTGACTTTTGTATCCAAACATTGGGCATGTTTGCCCAAAAAGGCAGCAAAAATAAGCTGGCAAAAAATACGTAGGAATTTAGAATAGTTTAGAACTTTAAACTTGTTGTAGAACATCTTCATTGAATTAAATTAACCCCCGAACCTTTCTCAGTGTTAATAAGAGACTGTGAACCACCCTAGTACCAGCAGTGATGGTCATGTTGTGGGAGACAAAATACACAGCCGAGCGGGAGCATGCAACACCGTTCAAAAATTTGAAGGAAAAAAAATTGCCGCGATACTCAAGTAAAGAAGAAACAACTCGCCGAAATGGTTGGAGCATCCCCTACAAAAATTTTTAAAATCCTGCGCAATCATACTAGCATGACTCAGGGCAACGCAAGATGAATACCAAGTAGGCTCACACCTCCGACAGCGCTTAAAATGTTCACGTGTCTTTTTGAACCTCTGTAATGAAGAGAAGATTGGTATATTGAGTCGATGTGTTACTAGCTGCCAAACTTGGGTTCATCATCATGAACCCGAGACTTAACATGACTAAACGCAATGGCATAAAAAGGGTGTAGCACCTCCATGAAGCTTAAGGTGTCACAATCAACTGGAAAAATCAAAACGACGGTATTTGGATCTCAGCATGAATATTATTGATCGATAGAAAAAAGTGTTGCTTTATCGAGAAAATACTATAATACAATATTAGAGCGACCAAAAGAAGCCAATAAAGAGAAACTGTTGCACGACAACGCCTCCGTCCACAAGAGCTACGTAACGTTGACTGCGCTGCATGCGGTGGGCTTTAATACTTGGAATTACCCACACTGCAGTATAGACCTTGTAAAAATGTATCACGAATGATAAAGTCAAGAAAGCAATTTTGGCGTATTTTGAGAATAAAAAGAAAAAATATTGTATTAGGATATAAATCAATTGATTGAAAGATCTAAAAATGTAAATTTATTCAAAAGAAAAAGTAGTTTATTTTTCTTTTAATTTCCACCTTTTATTCTACATTTTGTGAACATAACAACATTCCTTCGTAGTATTGAAAATCTCTCCCCATCAGCAATCTTTCAAACGATGACCAACTGTGGTGGAGACTCTGAAAGAAAAACAGTATTGAATTCAGGGTGGATTCCAAGCTTGATAAAAGTGGAGAAGTATTATCTCTAATGATCGGGGGAGTACGGTAGCCTTCTTATAATATCATCATATAGGCAATGTGTGGGGATGTCTCACTCCGCAAACGGTTTGTTAATGGATATATTGATCTTTTAGTAAGCTCGATGAACTATAGCTTTTCGGGACGACTATTATACGACCAGAAATTTTAATGAAGTGTTCTGTATATGGCACCATCGATGGAGTTTGAAAAGAAGCGCTAAGGTGCGTGTTTATGTGCGACTTCGAACTACTTACCTTTTTTTAAATTTCATACTTTTTCCTGGGAAATGGACTGTGGAACTGATACTTCCATTTCGTCTTTCCCATTTTATAAATTGATGGAGGGTTTCAAGAAAATCCTCATCGCCGTCGTTTATTTCAGTTTGTGAGAGCTATAGTTAGGGTTTTACACATTGGGCGTGAGGCTCTGATTGTGGATCGGCTGTCAAGAATTCCCGCAGGGAAAATCATACCCCGTAAGAAGAAAATTAAAAAAGGGATACCTTTCCGCCTGCTGAGCCAAATGCTTTTCGCATTGATTCTTCTCAAATCCTTCTCTGCATAATCCCACAAGTAACTTTTCTCATAACTTCAAAATGAATATACTAAAGCAATATATATATAATTGACGCTTTGTTACCACTGAAGCGATTTTTCGGCCGAGCTCCTGCGCCAATTTGTAGTTTTCTCGTCTTGATATTATTCCAATAAATGGAGGAACCTAAAGTTCATACTAAGCCGCCTCCGAACGGCTGAAAGTTTTTGTTTACGAGGAGCCTTTTTTTCATGTTCGAAATACACTCGGAGGGCTTGGTATTCTCTGCCGAGGGGCGGCCGCAATTCGAAATTTTTACTTAATTTTTTATTTAAATTAATTTTCCATAACTCTTAGATTTTGTTAGCAAAGGGATATGAACCCTGTCCTTCCGAATGTCAATACGCAATGATAACCACTCGGCTACCGCGGCCGCCAAGATCGGAGCATACTCATTTACAAATTCAGGAGCCAATGTCCACACCTTTCTCATGACCAAGCAGAGTTTATGGAGGAAAACTGGCGAGCCAGCGACTGTCAGAGAAAGCACAAACCTCTTAAATGTAAAACTAGAATCCACAATCGCAGGTGGTAGAATTGATCTTTCATTCATTACTCAACTATGACGAAATTAAAAAAAAAAATGGCGAGAACTGATTGAACCTTATCAATATGGATTTAGATCAGGTAAATCCACCATAGACCAGATATTCAAAATAATTTAAGTTTCCGAAAAACCCCTGTGATAAATGAATCGATACACACCAACTTTTTATCGATTTTAAGGCTGCCTTTTCCAGTACGACAGTTTGCTTCGATGTCGCTATCTCCGTTTTGAGTGTGATGAAAAATATATACGGCTTTGTAAAATGACGCTGGAAAATGCAAGAAGCACAGCCAGATTTTAGAACTAACTCTCCGGAGCCGTTCGGTACCAAACACTATGAATTCACGGGAGGAAGGTTTTGCAGAAGAGTTCTGACTCTCTTTGCTTGTGCTTAAAAAACTCTTTCCATAGTTTCGAATGCACACATAAGTATAACCAAGGTTTGAACTCATGAACCCCCCCCCCCCCACATGGTTCGATAGATTCTCATATACATCATATATATATCATATATATATGCTTAAAATGAAATATATGCATTCAACCACGTATCGAGCTATTTATTGTGAAATCTAAGCCTCTCGTTTAATATTTAAGTACATTTCAATAGAGAGAGGTTTCGCCTTGCAACTGGTACCGCTCCCTCATTGTTGGCTGAACTTGTTGCAACAACAACTTTTGCTTAATTCAATGTGGCTTTTGTGGCAAGAACTCTATCCGTCAGTATGGATACATACATACAAGCGTACATGCCTAGCTGCACGAAGGCCTCACCGCTAAGCCAGGAAATGGGTGAGCGAGCAATGTAGTCATGTAATTTCTCAAGAGCCTGAATACTGTTGCATTTGATGTGAGTGAGCATTAAGCAGTCAAAATTAATTACGTATACGCAGAGGAGGCCAACCGAACGTTATGAAAAGGTGATGAAATGCGGGTGAAATGTTTAAAACCCAAATTCTTTTATGCATTTAAGATGATAACTTGGCATCGGAAGACTTTCAGTGCATTTATAACAAAAACAAAATTGTCAAAGAAACAAAAGGGAAATTCCGAAAATATTTTAAATAACACACAGTCGTGCGCTGAGACTATGCCCAACTCATGAGCTGGCGAGAAAAAAACATCATTTAATCATGTTTAATGGCAGCCACAAATA